CAATGTAACACCAACTTTTCACTATTTATGTTATAAGTCCCAGGTAATAGGGGATGAGCCTATTACCATGTAACGGGCATAATTCCAGAGTCCGTGCTACTACTGAGAATTCTTTAAAAAAACCCATTAATACTTTGCCAGACCCGGAAATCGAACCCGAGACCCCTTGCCCAGCAGGTCTGACTCAGCCAACGAGGCTGTTGACGACCTGACATATTCTGACTTACAATTTTATTTTCAGTTACCTGCGCAGCCACGCATTATACATCTACATAGGTTGTCGGTCGTCACATATGGTATTCATAATGATGAGTCCCTATCGTGGCTTGAAACGAGTTGAGCACCATTCTCGAATGGCAGTTCACAAATTGTGAAACTGGCCGTAAATTATTTTTAATCAATAAAACTTTAAATGTAAATTAACTTGAATCTCAAGTTTTATACACAAAATGATAACAGCAATTATAGATAAACTGGTGTTAATTGATTTTATCACCATTTATCATTTCAGTTAGAGTTATTAAAACAAATAATTATGGAAGTTGTTGCATAAACAGGTACTATCGTATATATAATAAATTTTATTTATCTACTAGCTTTTACCCGCGGCTTCGCTCGCGTCACAAAAAGATAAAACGTAGCCTATGTGACTACCCATCCCTTCAACTACCTTCAGTTGAAAAATCACGTTAAGTACCTCCGTTTTGCCGTTTAAGACAGGCAAACAAACAAACAGCTGTTCGCTTGCGTGGAATTCGGTTATAACGCGCGTTTTAGATTTTTCCGTGGGAATGAGAAGTTCTGCCGCGGTAAAGCCTTGCTTTTCCAGGACTCAAACTACCTTTATACCAAAATCGATTCAGCCGCGTGAAAGAACAGAAGAAGTTATTTTCGCATTACCACAAATACCTCCTCCTATTTTAATTTAAAAGACTTCTATTTCCTATAAGGGTTATATTTGCAATGCTAAACCAAAACTGAGTGGTAAACTATATTATACGTTTTATTATCGAAAACCTAACTTCTTTAGACATCTACTTAGAAATAAACCACTTCACTAATCTAACCTAACTAATATAGCTACTGTATCAATCAACGTAAACAATGAACAAAGCGTCTTAGAACGACGAAAAAAAATTACTATAGTACTTTAAATATCTACCTAGAAAAAATAACACTCTGACTCAACTAATCAAACCTACAAAGCGAACAAATAATAATCAATATAAGCGCTAGATGCGTACCCTAAAATATAGTTGTTACGGAAGCTCGGAACCTATACTTTCGCCGGTAACGAAACCATAGCGCCATCTAACTCGATCCTAACGCCATCTATCGAGCATTGAAACAACAGCGTACAATATATTTTCTAATTGTTGAGTATTGTTGCCACTATGGTTTCGTGTACCTTTAACAATCTAACATCTATAAAATACGCAACTTAATGTAAAATGGTTGAAACCAAAATTTAAAAGCGAAGAATACTTAAAAAACACTACGCTATTCCGTTTTATAAACACTCAGCGCCATCTATCGCCAAGTAGCGTAACTACCACATAGACACCAATTTCGTGTACCTTTAACAACCTAAAATCTATAAAATACCCAATTCAATGTAAAATGGTAGGAATCAAAATTTAAAACCGATAAAAATACTTAAAAAACAACGTTACCCCGTTGAATATATAATAATAAACACTCAGCGCCATCTATCGCCAAGTAGCATAACTACTACATAGTCACCAATTTTGTGTACCTTTAACAACCTAAAATCTATAAAATACGCAATTTAATGTAAAATGGTTAGAACCAAAATTTAAAAGCGAAAAATACTTAAAAAATAGTGTAATATTACATAGACACCAATTTCATGTACCTTTAACAACCTAAAATCTATAAAATATACAATTCAATGTAAAATGGTAGGAACCAAAATTTAAAAGCGGTAAAAGTACTTTAAAACACAACGCTACCCCGTTTTATAAACATTCAGCGCCATCTATCGCCAAGTAGCGTAACTACTTGTTTTTTAAGTATTTTTACATAAAAAAAAACAAATAAATGAGTCGAAAAGCGCACTGAATAAGTGTAGATTAACACCAAATAAGCGCTATAGATTAAAGCGTGAAATTTCCAATTAGTAGGTAATTCGTTGAATTGTTTTAGATGGCACAAAGCGCCATCTACAGGAATACACGCAGCGCCATCTATACTAATATTTTTGTTTTCCCTCGGGAATATCACATTTTTCCGGGATAAAAAGTACCCTATTATTTAATCTGGACTTCTAACTTTACGTCTGCAAAATTTCAAAGCAATCGGTTTAGTAGTTACGGCGTGAAGGTGGAACAAACAAACAAACAAACAAACTCACTTTCAGATTTATAATATTAGTAAGGATTTTTTTTTTTTTTTTTATTTTTTTTTTTTTTAAGGGGGGAAAATCATCGAATGACTGCTCCCGCCCGGGTGAGGCGGAAGGGAGTGTCAGACTCTTACTGACTAAAAACCACCCCGTTCCTTCTCCTGCACGTCGAGCCGGAGCCCCGGTTACCCGTTAGGTTCTCTCCGACTCCGAATCGGCATCGGCCCTATTGGGCCCCATCTGTGGTGGTCTGATGGCTCTTTGAGGCGCGCGCGGAACGCGACGCGCCGTACCTCGGGTCTGTTTCTGGTCGGACGGGGAGCCACCCATGCTCGCCGTCCGCAGGCCCGCGCTTACGGTGGCCGGAGATCGTCCCGCGATCCCCGACGCCCGGTGTGTCCTTCGCGATGGCTGGGTTGCGAGGAGGCAGCGCTTCGCTGCCTCACGCGTCCCGCCTCCTCCTTAGCCAGCATGACTGCTTCGCAAAAGGAGGAGACGGCATCCCAGTCCCCCTCGCTCCGCATCATGGCCTGAACTAGGCCCGGACGCGAGAGGTCTCCATCGCCGATCACTTCCCTGAGGGCACGGCGGTGCTCAGCCCACGCAGGGCATTCCGCAACAGTGTGTTCCACCGTGTCCTCAGGGTGGTCCTCGCAGTGATGACACCCGGGCGTTTCCTCCCGCCCCATCAGACACAGGTACCTCCCGAAACTTCCATGTCCGGTGAGGACCTGCGTCAGGCGGTAGGTGAGGACGCCGTAGCGTCTCTCAAGCCACTCCTCAAAGAGGGGACTTACCGCTGCAATGGCAGCGAGCCCAAATATTAGTAAGGATAGTCCCATAATTTAGCGACCTCCATTTACAAAGTAAATAATTATTTTTCCATTCACTTCTTAAGAATTAAAGTTGTACTAACTAGGTTGTTGGCACAACGCTTGTTCGCGTCCACCCTATTAAAAAAAGAATAACTTTGAAAATTTGATAATTCTTCCATAATAAAAAACTGTCAAATGTCAAAAATTTACTGATGGTTGAAAATCGGCCCTTAGACTCAGACTGCTAACAAGGCCCTTAGTATATGAAATGTAATGAAATATTCCTTTTTTAAACAAATTTAAAGTTAGTAGTACACAAAAATGAATGAACCAATAACAGAGTAGCTCCCTGTTATTACACAAAGTCAAAGTCAAAATCATTTATTTCAATTAGACCAGGAAGACACTTTTGAACTTAAAATAGATATTAAAATATTAAAAACTCCAGTCGTCCGTCATTCCCTAGTGAAGCTATAAGAACGAGCAAGAAACTCCAAAGGTTACTCTTTGATTCAATTAAGTGAAAACAATGTAACACCAATATGATATCAAAGAGATAGAAAAATAAATATGTGAAACTTTGCACTGCGATAGAGATATATCTGTAATTTTATATGTAATTTTAAATAACTTAAAACTGGTCTAAGCTGAATATAAACCAAAATAAAGTACTACATCACTCCATTAAATTACTACATCTAATTTGAATCTTTAAGCAATATCCGTCAACGTCCTGCCAACATAAGGGCATAGCCTACATACTGCGCAGACGCACCCAATAGTAAACGTAACGATAGCAAAAAACACAAATTAAGGTTAATTTCTCTTTTACAACTATACAACTTACTAGATAGATTAGTTTGAATCTAATAGATTCAAAATTCTGGAAATGCCGGGACTAATTATGTTATAGGCGATGAGCCTAGAATCGGGCTCATCGCCAATCAATTTTGTATGCGTACGGTAAATTCTGAATTACATATTATATTTTCCTAACCTTCATTGTTAGAAAAAAAACCACATACACTATGCTATATTAATATCACCTTTGAAAGAGCCCTACTGTTTAACCCGCAACTCAATGATTCATCTCGTATAGCGTAGAAAAACATAATAAAAAAAAACTAAAAAAACAAAACGTAAAGGATCTAATGTTTTTGTTACCACTACATAGACGCCGAAGTCTTGCAATTTAGAAATACTTATCAATCTTTTTTCCTTTAGAATTAAACTAATTAATAAAGATTACGACAGCCTAGTAAATAGGTCTCGGAATCGTCTACGACACGCTCATTACTCGATTCTACTCGATTTATATCGAGTTAATCGGTTAAGGTTCGCGCAGACTGACCGATTAATTTTATTGTTGTTGAAATAAAACTTTTATTGAATATTTGTGATTACATTTGAGGGGCCTGTATATAATCATAATTTTACAGTTTTTCATCAAATTTCATTAACTTTAATAAAAAATGTTAAGTATCAGTGTGATAATTAATCAAAGCGACTGTGCCTTACTTTAATTCAAATTTTTTAGCAAATGGGATCGGTTACATTTATCTACCTAAGTACATAGTATTGATTTATGTATCAACGTGCCTGTTTAGTCGATAAAACTCATTGAATGACATTTTGGAACGTCAAAAGTTATAGCTCTTAACCGATCATGCAGTTTTTTTAAACTACTATAAATATATTCAGGAATTACGGTTTAAAAGTTTTTTGTTGTGGCACATTAAGATGTTTTTAGCACAAAACCATATTCATAGAACTTACTCATTTAGCTCAAATCGATTAACAAAACCGAGTTGTGTTCTCACCTTTACTAGAGTATCGAGTTTCATTCGATTGCGTAACCATAGTGGCGAGTTCTCGATTATAATCGGACCGTGTAAACGGTTTATGCTGGCTATTAAATATCCCGGGATTTGATATTAATATTGTATTTTATTTGTTTCCGAGTTATTCATTTTGTTGTGGGATTTCTTGCATAATTGTGGTGATGGTGATTGGGATTGGGATTAGTGACAGAAACTAGTTTAAGAAAAGTGGTTTTGCTTTAACGTGTTTGCAAAGAGATGTAGATATATGTTCCTGCTATTGTTTTTTTTTTCAAATATTAGCTAAGATCATTTTGTTTTTTATTCCAGGCGGTTTTCTAAAGAGTTTTGGGACTCTTAGGGCTGGCACTGAGTATTAACCTTAATTTGAATATCAACTTTTTATTTAACGAAGTTTCTTTGTGATGCGAGGTAGTATCCAATTTCTTTCTATAGCTAGCCAATAGGGTGACACTATTTGGATAATACCTATTAACCAAAGAACCCAAAATAATTGAAATGCGTTCTTTTTATCGAAAAACCGATTTTGTTATGGCTACAGTAGAGTACTTTTCATGGTTTGAATTATTTTCAATTTTCGTACAGTGTAGGTATACCCGCGTAGGATTATTGCAATATTAATTCCAATAGAATATCACACAACAATTTAATTATTATGACATAAATCTATGACACTAATATGTCAAAATATTTAAATTAAACTACAAAATTATATATTCAATAGATGAATAGTAGAGAAAATAACTTATGCAACACTAAATGATTTTATGACAACAATAAATCAAAATCACAGACTTGTAAACTGTCACTTGAGTGTCACTTCTAAAATCTTTTAATCTTTGTCCTAGTTCCATAACCATTTTAATGAGACACCTATAAATACAAGCCATGAATCACAAAAGAGGTCATGATTTGTTGGTCATTTTTTCGATTTCATTACGCACTTAGAGCTACTGGAAGTGTTAATAATTGCCGGCTTAAGGCGCAAAGATTGCGTGCGATAGGATTATAAATTATAGACGTGGACCACCCTTGACATAGATTAGCAACTGTCGTATCTAGCTGAGTTGTTTATTATTATATCTTTGTCATTTATTGTTTCTCACGCTACGGTTTTATATAGACTAGTTGTTGGTCGTGGTTCTGCCCTTAGGGCGTAAGAGGAAATAACAGTGACAAGTGTGAGTGACTTTTAAGACTATCAAGATAACGATGGCATGCTTGAAAAACGCAGTAGTCTATTGTTTTTATACTTGGAATCAACAAAAAAACTTTGGATATCATGCTGGTACAAATACGACCTGCATGGCAAACAACTTTAACACGTTCACCACCACGTAGGTCACCGGTGTTAGCAATGTATGTGCCAAAGGCGAAGGCTTAAATAATGAAGATTTTCAATTTAATTCTTATTAAAATCATCATCGAAGAGCTGCTGGCTTCTGACTCCTATAAAGTTAGGACTCAACCCCCTAAAATCCTCATATTATGTGTGTGTAGGCACCTACACACCTACATATGAGGGTTTACCATTATCTCTTAGCTTCAGATGAAGCTTGAAGCTTCACTGACGGACTGACTGACATACTATTATTTATTTTGTATTTGTTGACGGTTCAAAAGTGACTTTGACTTTGACATGACTCCACGACTAGTGACATTTCTCTTAACAAAGGTTGTCTTGTCAAGTAATCTTCTCTTTCATTCTCTCTCTAATAACCGATCCGATCTACTCTCAAAATCCTACCCCAATACGTCAAGCCGTTTAGACACAAATGATAAACAAACACATAAACTAGGTTTATTATTTATATGAATAACGACTTTGACAGTTTCATTTTAATGAGGTCTAGTTTAGTTTCTTGTATAAAATTTATATTTTATATTGAATATCAACGCAGGTTGTGTCAACAGTTTGCAATTATAATAATAGAGTACGTATTGGGTATTAATTAATAAAATGAATAAAGTATGAAGTATTTGTGAATATATGACGGGCTGTCTAGGTTGAATTTTCTAAAGAACTGTATCTTGTATGACGTTAATATTTGCCCGGGAATCGAACCCGAGACCCCTTGCCCGGCAGTCACTCTTGTGACCGCTCGGCCAATGAGGCAGTCCCGTAAAATAGTAAAATAATAACCATGGAACTCCAAATTAATTAGAAAGGTACCTACACACTGATCCATGTAATTACCATTACAATATTTAAGTCTACAAATCAATAAATAAAGAACAAAAATCCGTGCTAATTGAGACAGTAGAATGCAAGGTAAAGGTACCAGTTATCATCTAATTAACAAACATTGTTTGTATTTAAAAATATTAAGTTACGTCATGCCATACTATTCAACTTTAGTTACATTTTAGGGAATTTCATTTCGATTTACTGTATCATTTTATTACCCTCAAGGTTATTTTCTTTTTCAATCTCTTTGACTGGATTTAGGTGTTGCATTGTTCTCACATAATCGAACCAATAAAACTATGTAATTAGAGAATTGTATTGTAAACCTGATTGATAATGAGTAACCTATGGAGTTTCTTGCTCGTTCTTCTCCATAGAAATCTACACCTTCGAAGGAGCAACTAGCTTCACTTCTAAATGACGTTGACGTTCAAAAGTGCCATCCTGGTCTAATTGAAATAAATGATTTTGACTTTGATTTTTGACGTAAATGCTATATGTATGTTATAGGTACTTTAGTCTATGTTACTTGCAAGGCGACCAATCGGTGAGACAGTCAACGCTTGACGTAAATCAAAGTAACAATAAAATAACTTTATGTGTGCCACGTGCCGCCCATGCTAATATAAAAGTTATAAATTTATAGTTGTTATATATCTTTTTTTTGTATGTGTTTTCTTTGTTTGTAAATCATAAAAACGAAAGTTTTTGGTAAAGTTTTGCTGTTGTGTGACCTTTTGGAAATTATTATAAAATCACGCTTTTAACCCCCTAAGGGATACGCATAGGTGCACATTATACGGCACTTAATGCCACTGTACAATATTACACCCACTTTTCACTTTTTTATGTTATGAGTCCCATGTAATAGTGGGTGAGCCTATTGCCATATACCAGGCACAATTCCAGACTCCGTGCTACTACTGAGATTAAAAACCCAGTAATACTTTTCCCGACCCGGGAATCGAACCCAAGACCCCTTGTCCCGGCAGTCGCACTCGGGCAACAAGTTTAACAACTCGGCAGTTTTAGAAATTAGATTGGTTCGTTTGATTATTATACTACTATCAATAGCAACAACGCTAATAACTTTCCTGATAGTAAGCAGACACCGTAACATGAGCATAGCTGTTTAAAAAAAACACCAACTTTATACTTATTTTACTCATTTTTTTTTAATTGTACTCCATTTTTTTTAAGGCATGCAGTTTAAAAAAATTTATTCCACGTAATAATTTGACGAGGAACTGGACTAGTTTCAAGCCATGCTGTCTGTCGCGCTGCTACTGGTACAGTCGCCGCGTCGCGGGTCGCGGAATGCTGCTCATGAATATGAGCCTCTAGCATGGCTTGATACTAGTCGAGTTCTTCGTCAAATTATTAAGTGGGTAAGCCGAAATTATAATAATTTATTTAGTATGTCTCACGAACATTTTAAGATTGACTTTCCTATTGTTTACGAAGGATAAAATGCCAATTAATTGTTTTGAAGTTTTTTAAACATCAAATTGACCTACGTATGAGTTCTTCGTTTATTCGAAGGTCGAATACTTAAGCAAAGTAATACTAAATTATCATATTATAGATTTTACGACAACCAATGAGAGTAAACTCAATTAACTTACCACACCTAGTCTGATTTACAGTAAAAATGCAACAGATTGCGTAATAATAATTAAGAAATATATTAGAATGTGGCAACTTTGCCTGTACTTACTAAGGATCTATAAAACTAACATTCAATGCTTTAAATGCTCGTAAACACTTTAATGATATGTACGCTAATACTATTTACAATCTAGTTACTTTTGATTTCAGTTTATCTAGGATTGTACCTACCTAGGTACCTTGACTGCCTCATTGGCCGAGTGGTCGCAAGTGCGACTACTAGAGGTCTCGGGTTATTACTGGGTTTTTTTAAATCTTAGTAGTAGCACGAAGTCTGGAAATGTGCCCGCTATATGGCAATAGGCTCACCCCTATTACGTGGGACTCGTAACATAAGTAGTGAAAAGTGGGTCTTAAATTGTATAGTGGCATTAAGTGCCGTAATGTGCACCCCTGCCTACCCCTTCGGGGATAAAAGGCGTGATGTCATGTTATGATACCTAGGTACTAGATTTTCTTAATGACTGTACCAGTGGTCAGTAAGTAAACCTATACTTTTCTGTCAAATTTCTCTATTCCATCTTCAACTTTATTGTATTGACTTAAAGTCGATGTAATGAATAGATTTAAAAGTTTTTTTTTTATACTTGACAGGTCGACGTTTGGCTAAGCGATGATGAAGATTGGAGGAGGTTGGTCTACAGGCCAGTGTACATACTAATATGAAATTGATTTTGTTTACTATAAACTGTTCTAAGTCGGTCCTTATTAGGTAGGGTATTTAAAACCTATACATAATCGTTTCGTTGGCTTCAAAAATAACCTTTTTAATTCACTTCAAAAAGAAAAATATGTGTTAGTGAACAAAATAAACTCCAGACTCTATATCGGCTAGAACTAAATAATAAAGTACCTACCTAATCAAAAATTAATAAATGGGTACATTAGTAATACAAATAGAAACGATCTTGTTTCAAGGTTTTACAGTTAATAAATAATTTTATAGTTACCTATCGGTACAGGCTAACCAAGAAATTGTATTTAATTTGTTTAATTAGAATTTAAAATAGTCACTTGGAGTTAATATGCATGTAATAACGTAATTAGCTATCATTAGTCGGTGTGTTTCGTAATTATTTTATTTTAAAAAGAATATGTTCGGTCGAAGTTATAAATATACTGCCTCATTGGCCGAGTGATCGCAAAGGCGACTGCCAGGCATG